ATTGAATAAAACGTTCGTTAGAATATTTTGTTCATAGATCTTGTCCTTAAAACTTACTTCAATCACTCCTATACAAACTGGATCTTATCATCCTCAACAAACGATGAATCAGACCCATTATTAATGACAAGAAATCCGCAGCGGCAAAATTGGTAAAAAATTTTAATAAATAATCTAAAGCTCTCTATACCGAACTCCCGTCCATTATATGTATTTTTCTGCTTTTGTTCGTTACAGAGAGAGAAATAAATTATAAAAAACTGAATCGGGGACAGGGGACAAAAGAGAAATTCGTTATAGAGAGGTTTGGTATAGAGAGCTTAGACCGTAATAAATCAATAAACTAAATACAGAAATAAATGAATAAATGAATAATAATACATGCGGAAATGAAAATTATTTGTTGAAATAAGATGTAATATTTGGTTGTATTAGTTTTCATTATCTAATAAATTCACTTTTTTCAATGGTTTAAATGCTTTAAATTCTTTATAGTTTATCTCTAAACACCTTGTTGAAGAAAATCAAAAGCTCTTTCGTTGAAGCTTTAGGCATAGTGTTATTCTCAGCAACTATTATATTATTAACATCATTTTTTCAATTATATTTCTTGATTTTTCAATTTCATTATTAGATATTTCATTTCCAAAGGGAGAATTGCAGTTTTCCTCTAACTATTATTATTTATATGTCATATGAATCTGCTGTGATGAGATTAATAGCCATATAGAAAGACACTCATCAAAAATCTGTGGAACAAATTTATTAATAAAACCCGTTATGACAAACGTTTTAATTAATAAAGGGCCAATACTTAAATTTGTTGTAACAAGAAACCCGCTGTGACGAAGTTTGACTGTAATAATAATCATATATAAAAATTTTTAATAATGGTGGTTAACCGGTTAATCAAAAAGAATTAACCGGTTTAAAAAATATTTTAAACGGTTAACGATGCCAACCCCTATTTCAGATAGTTGAGTCAATAGATATGATTGTTCTGACATTATTATTATATTTAGAAGTTTGTATTTAAAAGGGCACGATAGAGTTAGAAAATAATAAATTAATTATAATAAGAGCATGACAAAAAAGTCATTATCACAATTAAAGAGGAAGAATATAAATAAAAATTCAAACATGAAAAGAACAAAGTGAAATATTTAGGAAAAAAATTTTTTTTTGATTTATCAAAGTATTGAAACTTTTGCTACTCTTCCTGATTCAACGTATGGATTCAAAAATGAAACAAATCTTCTTGTGCAACCTCTACATTTCCACACAAATTTCGACCTTATAACGAAACTGAATCTAAATATGTATGATTGAATAGATTGCTGTAAATTCACAATCATTTTTAGTGGTAGAACAATATCAATTTCGTCAATTTGTTGCAGAATAAAATCTTTGATATAATTAAAAATTTACTAATTAATCAATTTACGTGATAAAATTTATAAAACTGTATATATTCTTTTTGAAATATATTATATAATAATTTGAATTTGATAATAAAATAATATGTTAAACAAATTAAATTGAAAAATGATAAAAAAAAATTTTAACGGTCCAAATGGTCTTTGATATCTAAGACCAGACCGCGGTCCATTCAGTCTGGACCGGGGGTTTTCCCACCTTGAGCATTTTTTTGCGAAACTTTGAAAAATCATTAATTATTATTACGTACATGTTCTATGTTATTCTTGTACACATATTGACCTACAAAATAAACCAACGTGCTTTCCCAAACTCGACCACGTTATAATCGTTAAAACCTCCTTGTACTGAATGTGATTGGCTTGATTTATACAAAGCGCATCCACTTATCACGTTTTCGGTAGAAGAGATAGTTTTAATAAAGCATATGGATAAACAAATGAAAGACATGATTTGGCTGGGTTTTTTTTTAAAAATTCTAAAAAAAAACTTGATAGATATGACGAAAAATATTTATAAATAGATTGATTTAAATTCAATTAGCCGTTTTGGGATTAAATAAATTGGTCGAAAATGTAAATCAAACTAAACAAATTTATCGTTATCATAATAAAATAAAGCCACAGTGATTCAAGTTTTCTTTTTGTTCGTTTAAAAAATTTTTGGCCTTAACATCAGTGTTATTGTTGAACAAAACGCAACCATTTTCGAATTTCCTTTTTTTTTTTTTTTTGAAAAATCTTTTTTTTTGAACAAAAGTCTAAAAATAT